GGGGGTGGGGGGGTGGGGGGAGGGTGGGGCGGGCGGGTGGGGGAGTCAAGTTGGATTACATAAAAAAAACTCCGCAAGAAAGGGATTCCTTGGCGGTGCCATTGCGAATCTTCTGCGAAAACATCTTCCAACCTGGGTAGTCTTCTAGATCTAGATCAACGCAAATTTAAATTTCTTTGTGCTTCTTTGGGAAGCTTTGTGCACCATGCACGCGGGTCCTTCCGGTACTCTGCTGCCACACGGTTGCTAGATTCCATCACGCGAATCAGCGCTGAGTCCATGATGACCTCAGCAGGGTATGCACAAGATTGCACAAGCACCTATAGAACATTAACAGACATGCCGATGGCAACCCTTAACCCGCAGTGTAATGCAAATAACCATGGATGCAGCAGCCACCATCAGCAGCGGCAGCAGCAGACTGCACACCCCGTGCCAATCACCACTAAGCTCCGAGCACCAAGATTGTCATCGCAAACCTGAGCCAGGAGAGCCACCGGAGCATCTTCCCCATCATCCCTTGCTCAGGGGGGGCTCCACTTAGAACCGAATCTTCTCGCAACGGCTCTTTACAGGAGAGATGTGTGCTAGGGCGGGGACTTCTCAAGCCGTATCCCATCAGGACACAGCCGTCGGTGAAATGCACTATCTCAACTTGAAAACCGTACAGGGTATACGCTCCCACATGCCCGTTTTGCTTCTTGAGCATGCTTGGGCTTTCCCCAACATTCTGTTATGCTGCACAGGTCTTCGACTAGACCCCTGCGCAAACAGGAACTGACCGTGATTCAGTGACCCAGCGGCTGAGGAGAAGTGAGCTTCAAAGACGGAGCCACCAATCTCTAGAAAAGGGTTCACCTGCAACTCAGCTTGTCAAGGCTTACTGCTAGTGCACTGGAATCTGAATCTTGCCGGGGCTTCGGGTTCTCAGGTTTGGGCAGAGGCCTTACAAAGCTGAACGCCCAACCAGGTGACAGAAGAAGCCACGCATTTCTCTCGCGGCTTTGCTTGTATGGCTTCAAGAGCTTGGAAAGGCACCTATCTCGGCATTTCGTTTAAAAAAGCTTGCCCAAGGAGATTCCTTGAAAGCTGCCCTGAGTTGGCAACGCGCAATCTAGGACCATTGGCCGTAGCCTGCCGAATAGCATCGGTGTAGTATCCCCGAGCCCAGAACTGCAGCTTTGACCTTGAATTTGTAGTATGCCATTCTTCATTCTACCGTCTACACATCCTCATGGCAAAGATAGACATCAGAAAGCCTACACCTCAAGTGCCACTTCCTTTGATCAGCCACGGCACCGGATAATGGATCGCAACCTTCGCAAAGCAAACGGAAGCACTGTTTGATACCGTAGCACAAAATAACAACTCATCGGAACACTGCTAGATGTGGCGGCTTGATACCTGACCAGAACCAATCTTGCGCGAATCGAGATGGTAGATGGGATGCCAGAAAAAACCGTGAAACAGCAGTTCTGGAAACAAGAGAAGAAGCCTAGACAACTTTGAGGTTCAGCACATGGTAGGCCTGGGGAGCGAAGTTTGGGTGAACGTCTGAGGTTAGCTGACAATAAATCTTGTCCCGCCCTGGCAATGAAATATGGGTTCTTCCAATCAAATTTAGGAAGCCGTCAACACAAGCACGGCATCCAACTGCAGACCCTCTTCCAGCAAGTATCACAAAGAGAGCATGCAGCTTATCCCAGTCCAAACATAATCC